AATCTCATGCAAAGTGTTTCTTAGTAGCATATTAACCACCCTTCTGATTTCCAGCAGCATTTGTTTCAGATTTTTTTCTTCTCATTTTTCTGAGCTGTAAATTTTGATCTGCTCTGTCCCTTGGATTTTCCCCCTGTATTTATTTTAGTTGCTTGTTATGCTTATTTGATCTGGATCTTGGCTTCTTTATTATCTCAGTTGGCATTTCTCCTTTTTTTTTTTTTATTCCAAAAGCAGTGTTTCAGCACTTAATGTCTGACAGGTTAATCATGACAAAAAGGAATGTACTTAAATCTCATTATATTTTTCAACTTCAAAGAGTTTTGCTCATATTTATTAATGTATCATCACAATATTTAAGTCAGAATTACCACTGCTGTTTCAAAGGTAGGTGAACTGAGGTGCAGACATTAAAGCTTAAATCTCTTCTACATTTAAAAAGTACAAATAGTCAGCCAGAGGCCTAATCTGTAGGAAGCAGGAGAAGTCTGGTACTAAGAGGTTTTTCAAAGCTTGTGTTTGGTATTGTCCAAGTTTCCCATCTTCTTTGAATCTGTGCTCTAGTGCAGTGGATTTAAGTACCTTCATCATATTTAAATGACAGTATTCTGAAGTACTACAAACTTAACTATCCAAACCAACATTAGCCTAAATGATTCTCTGCCTGGTCTAAAGCAAACTAGTACTATGCAGTAATACCTTACTGCATGTGGGGGGATTTTCTTTACAGGTGATGTAAAATTCCTCCATGCAGACTGAAGTGCAAGAGAGGACAGCAAGGTAACAATTAATGTTCTAAAACTTCACAGATTATGGGAGGGTGGGAAGTGTTACAGTTGTTTGTTGCCCCTGCTGTCCCCATACAGGCTCCAGTTCACAGTACCACAGAACACAGTGGTTCACCTCTTTATGACCACATTTTTGCATTTCCACTTGCACTGATACATGGCAAAAGCACTGCTGTGCAAACACCTCTATTGATTTAATTCTGAAAATATAACACATTGCTAAATAAAAAAATAAATTAATGTGAGCATTGCAACTATGGATTTTTTATTACCCTAAATTCTAAGTAGTGCACATTAATACTGTACATCATAAAATTCTTAGTCATGTAGTTATACTCTTCAGTTTATCTGATAATACACTACCACTCTTCTAAATCATTACCAATGTAATCTTTAAAACAGTAGCTCTTTGTCCACTGTAGGCTGTAAAAAAAAAAAGTATTATCTTCATCAGATATCACAGCTTTCATTTTTTCCTATGGTATTGTTTATTGGTGACTAAGGTCTGCTTACTTTCAATTCTAAGCAGGAACTCATTCTATTACTTCGCTTTTGAGAAAAACTCCTTCCCAAAAGCCTGTAAAATAAGATAGAGATCACTGACACACTTTTCTGAAAAGTATTCAGGAAACAGTACTGTTGAATATTATAAGCTCAGATGTTGAGGTACTACACCACAAAAATATTTTCAACTATCACAATTAATTATTTTTCTCAGTTTTGTTTTAGAACTTGATATTCCAGATTGACATTAATTATCACTGCTACTAAGTTTCTACAGCATATCATGAAGTAAGACTTGAGGAAATTAATACATTCTCTAAATGACTGATAGTTTCTGTGAATACTGAGAATTGTCTATACATAAAGTTTATATTGTCATTAGATCTCTCTTCTTTTTCACCAGCAACAGATAAATCCACTGTAGCATTTTACTGTATTTTAAAATGAAAACTAATAGTTAGTAAAGGCACAAACATGTACACATTAGAAAGTACATTTTGTGTCTCTCCAAGTGGCATGTAATATATCAAGAATCATGTATGCTCATTATGCCACATTTGTGGTTCAGAAAGGCAGTACATACAATGGATAGAGTAATACTTTTGCTTAAGCAACAGTTAGGACTTGCATAAATCCAAAAGGAAATATAATTATTTAACACCATTAAGAAGACTCACCTTCAAATTCACTGCATTTGATAAGCTCTGTAACTTCAAACCACTTCAGCTTTAGTGGTACATAAAGGTGAAGAATAAGTATGTTTATTTTTAAACTTTAGTTCCTGTTGAAATTGTCAATGACTTTTAAAGGAAGTATTCTGAAGCACCAGAACAATTATTTCAGATACAGAACTTCCAAGTGGAACACATGACTGAAGGAAAGTATCATACCATAAATGTTCTGAAATGACTTTGAGCCAGTCCGCCTGTTTTATCACCACAAATTTCATTTGCCAAGATGCAGTTACTGTATTCACAGAACTGTGCTTATGTTCAGAAGCACTAATTCTAATTCACATTTAATTTCAGGAAATCTGAGTTCAAAATGAGCCCAATCTTTTAACTTCTTTTTATTGTTTGGCTACACTAGAAAAAAGTGTCAGGTACTCAGGATATCTGCTTCCTTAGCTGTCACTTTGCAGCGAGCTGCAGAAACGGGTTTTCAGAAAACTGCACAAACATTTCAAATCTATTTCTAATTGTGAGGATACTGTCTATACCTACACAGTTCAAATTTCAGCCTTAGGTACATGGAAAGAAATATGAATATTTGGAAGACATTGCACATTCCTTCTATCTTCTGCCACACTGATTTCTTTTTCCACTTTTGGTGCTTTTGGACTTACTACCACAGCAGCATTATGATGCTAAGTACACGACAGCAAAAACCATAAGAATTAAATTCTTAGGTTAGCACCATTTCCTCCTTTCCCTTACTCCCACTTCCCAGAAGCTGTGCCAATGCTTTTCCACAGATTCTTTGTTCTAGCTGTGGCTAGGGGATCCCTGTCACCCCTTCTTCCAGCAAAGGGCTATGGCAGAAAGCTGTGCTGAGTGCAGGCTCATGGGAGATGGGGGTGTCTAGCAGAGCACATGCAAGAGGAGCTCACGAAGATGGAGACAGTTCTGCATCACAGGATGAGACTGGAAAAGGACGTGGCCTCAATGTCCAATAAACTTTCAAGTGGTGCAGACAGAAGTCCTTTTCTTCCCTACAAATAACATCTCCATGGTAGAAGAGATGGTTAGAAGAAGGTCAAGAAAAGAGATTATTTTTTAATTCTGAATGTTGTTTCTCTTTTCACACCTACACATTATACACTTCCCTTCTTTCTTCTGTGCCTTTCCACCTCTATCCTGCCCAAATAACTTCTCCTTTCAGCCTTCTCTTAAATCCCATATTATCCTATTTCTGTCACACTTTCATTTCTCCGTTCAGAGAACCATAGAATTATAGAACCATTTAGATTGGAATAGAATTTAATATCATTGAGTCCAACTGTTAACACAGCACTATGAAGTCCACCACTATACCATGTCCCTAAGCCCAATGTCTTTTAAACACCGTTTTAAACATCTTTAAAACACCTCCAGGGATGATGACTCCATCACTGCCCCTGGCAGCCTGTTCCAGTGTTTGACAACCCTTCTGCAGAAGAAATTCTTACCAATATCCAATCTAATTCTCCCCTGAAGGGGGCAGAAGAGACTGACGCCCACCTGGGCACTCACTGGCTCATGTTCAGCTGCTGTCCCCCCCAGGTCCCTTTCCACCAGGCAGTTTTCCAGCCACTCTCCCCCCAGCCTGTAGCATGGCAGGGGTTGTTGTGACCCAAGCAGAGGGTCCAGCACTTGGTTTTCGTGAACCTTGTACCACTAGCCTCACCCCATGGATCCAGCCTGCCCAGATTCCTCTGCAGAGCCTTCCACCAGTAGATCAACACTTCTGCTCAAATTGTGTATGCAGACTGAGGGTGTTCTTGGTCTCCTCAGTCAAATAATGAATAAAGATATTAAATGTGCCTGACCCCAACACTGAGCCCTGAGGAACACCACTGGTAACCAGTGACCAGCTGGATGTATCTCCATTCACCAACTCTCTCTAGACCTGGTCATCTTGACACTTTTTTACACAATGAAGAGCACACCTATCCAAGCCATGAGCAGTAGTTTCTCCAGAATGCCATGAGAAATCGTGTCAAAGGCTTTACTGATGTCCAGGTCGACACATCCACAGCCTTTCCCTCATCCACTGTCACCTTGTCACAGAAGGGCAGGTCAGTCAACCAGGACCTGCCTTTAATAAACCCATGCTAGCTGGGCCTGATTATCTGTACGTGCTGTGTGAGGCTGTGAGGATCCTCAATATAATTTGCTTCATATTCAAACTAAACCTTCCCTGTCACAACCTTGAGGCCATTTCCTTTTGTCCCATCATGTGTTACTTGTGAGACTGGCCCCCACTCCAACCTCCACTGATCTCACTCCAACCTCCTTTTAGGTAGCTCTGAAGAGCAGTAAGGTCCTCCCTGTTCCTCTCCTTCTCCAGACTAAAGATCCCCAGCTCCCTCAGCTGCTCCTCCATCAGACTTGTCCTACAGATGCTTCACCAGCTTCACTGCCTTTCCCTGGACACACTCCAGCACCTCGATGTTTGCTTTGAAATGAGGGTCCCAAACCCTACTTGAGACTCGGCCTCACCACTGCCAAGCACAGAAGCACAATCACTGTCCTCATCTTGCCGGCCACACTATTGCTGATACAGGCCTGGATGCCACTGGCCTTTAAGTCAGCTCATGTTCAGCCATCTGCGCCCCCTCTGACCCAGCACTTTCAAGTCCCTCACGCTTATTTTCCAGCACAATCCCTATATTTTTTAGAGATTCCTTTTTCTGACTTGCCCCGCAAAACCTCCATCCCACTGCCTGACAACCATCAGTTTCGGGGACCGGCGGGGAGCGCAGCTTCCCCCCGCCAGTGGCTGGCTGGGACGGGCAAGGAAGGCCCAGCTCAGCACAGCGCTGCCCGAGGCCGCAGCCCCACGTCCCCGGCCCCGCCGCCCCGTTCCGTCCGACAGCGCCCGCCCGCCGCCGGCCCCGCCCCTGCGCCTTCCCGCGGGGGTGACGCCGCCGCCCCGCGCCGCGGAGGCGGGACCCGGGCACGGCGGGTGTTCGTAAGTTCCTTCCCCCCGCGGCGGTGGGGCCGCGGCCCGGGCTGGGGGCGGGCGGCGCCGGGGCGCGGCTGTCCCGCTCTCTCCCCGCCCGTGGAGCCGGCTGGCGGCGCGGGGCCGGGAAGCAGGAGGCGGGGAGGTGGCGGCTCCCGGCGGGGCGGGTGCCTCCTTCGGCCCTCACTCGGTGAGCCCGAGGGGTTCCTCGCCGGGCGCTGCCGCCAGAGCTCCGCCGCCAGAGCTCCGCGCCTGCGGGGCCCTTGGCTCGCCCCGGTACGGCACAGCCGGTCCCGCGGCTCGGCCGAGGCGCCGGGCGGCGCGCCGGGCTCGGCAGCGTCCCCCGGGCCGCCGAGGTGTGTGCGGGGCCCGCCCGGCTCCTGCCGCCGGAGCCCGGGAGCGGCGGTGCGGGGTCTGCGGCGCTCGGCCGGGGGCGCCTTGTGAGCCCGGAGCCAGCGCGGCCACCCGAGCCCCGGCCCGGGGTATCAGTAGAGGTCCCCGCGAGCGCGGAGACTGCGGGAGGGCGTGACTGCCATTGCCGGTTCTGATGTTATAATGAAAGACCTGCAGAAAGGCCGCGTATGACCGGTTCCTACAAGTCACGATGTTTGCTTGTACAGCTCACGCTTTTCCCTGTGGTGGCCATGGAGCGTGACCTCTGTGAGGGGCGGCAGCGGGTGCCTGCAGGTTCTGTGGCCGCCTTTGGCTCCTGCGCGGTCCGTGCCAGCGTGAGTCAGAGCTGCGCGCCCAGCTCTTGACTCCGAGGCCTGAGCGATGTTTCATAACCTCGCTGCTGCTGCTGCTTCCATAAAAGTACAAATACGATGCGCAGTCCTCTCGGGCTCCTTACGGTTTGGAAGGAACTGTGGCCAAAGGCGTTTTGTCCTGTGGCTGCAGAAAGGGATGCGCTAAATGGGTGTAGTGATTGTGTGTAACTTACTGAGGCCTGTCGCCTTATGAATCCATTGGAACTTTTAATAATGACATCAGGAACATATCCCAGGTTCCAAGTGATCAGATGTGTATGGCATAGATAATAGAATGAGGGAGGCATTTTAAAACCACATAAAAGAGTTTTCAAAAGACTGTGCAAATGTCTACAACGTGGCAGATTTGAAACAATATGAAAGATTGATTTGTTTCAATTTATTTTGCCCAAAAGTCATGCTCTGTTAAAAGATTTACATAGTTCTATACCTAAATTAAAATTGATGTGGTATGTCTTGTGCTCACTTCCTTTCTTCTCCAACATAACTGTTGTTGAAGCTTTTTAATGTGTATTAAAGTCTCAGTCAACAGCCTAGCCCTTAAATGCTGTATGGTTAAGCTAATTATAGTCTTGAATTTTCTTGTAATAATTTATTTGAACCTGTAATACGCCATTAAAAGTGGTCTTTCCTGTTATTATTCCTTAATAAAAAGGAAAGAGGAGGATAACACAGGGTAAATGCACAGTTCCCTTGGATCACAGTAATTTATGTGCAGTTTTTTTTTCCTCACAGAACTATTCAGCAATCAAAGTACTGAGCTGTTGTTCTTTTGTTTGTTTTTTCAATAACTTGGTTATAGCTAGTTTTTTTTAGTGATAGTTTAAGTTAATCTTTTCCAAAGTTGCTTTTATGTAAAGCAAGATACATCAGGGATGAGTGCATGTTTTTCTTCTGCTTCAGTAGCTAGAAGAATTGGATTTTTTCCAATTTAGAGTCTGTCAAAAGACAGAAAGGAAAAGGGAGAGATAAAGTGTATGACAAGTCATCTATTTAAAATATTTTTCGTAATGATCTAATGTTCTTAGTATTTAATTATAAAGATATTCTTAGGTAATGATAACTGGAGAATCAGAAGAAACCCAGCACTATGCAAATGTTTTTAGCTTTTGGGCAGGCTGTTAAAGAACTAGATTGTGGGGTAGCTGAAGTTGTAATTGAAGTGTTTTTAAAAGCATTTAATGAAGAAAATACTAGTTTCTTATGTTTCTTGCATCTCATTTGTGAGTGAGAATATCAGAACTAGCAATGACAGGGAAAGCATATATGAGACATTTCTGACTTTCTCACTGAAGCCTTAGAAATTTGTAGTGATTGTCACACATATGTTTTTGATGTACAGGTTCAAGGATTATGTTGTGCTAGGTGGGAGGAGTGTTCTTCATCAGTGACTTGGACTGTTTGAAGCATTTTTATGTGCACAGGTAAAGCATTTATAGAAGTGGTTTAATGTTTTAAATGTCTGTATGAAACTGGTGATGGTTTTATGTATTTATTTGCACCTAATGAGGTGGATGGTGTCAGGTCAAAGTGAAATACCCAAGTGTTGAATGTAGAACTTGGATTGGATGCTGACTGGAAATATTGCTGGAGTTGCAATTAAAGAAACTTCAGAGTTTTAAAAGTGCATGGAAAAATAATAAATGTATGAGCTTTCATCAGTTGTTTTAGCAATATTTATTCAGATATTTATTATTGTATTCTCTACTCTAAAGTCCTGTTAATGTATGGTATACCTCAGAGGAGATGCTGTTGTATTGTGTGTAAACATGTTTTATTAGAATTCTTGTTTATTCACTGCTTCCTAAAATGTTTTTTCTATTAAATACAATTTTCTGTCCTTTGCTAAATGTATTTCCTGAGATATTGGAACTTTCTGTTTTTGTTTGTTTTTTATTTCCTTGAAATAGGAATTAAGATGGATGAAATGTTTCATTGGTCATAGCAGCAGCAGCAGGACGAATAAGGTGGGTATGATGAAAAATTGCAGTTAATATCTTTGCAGAGTATTTTTGATTTTGATTCTGTGCCCATCTAAGTACAAAGACAGTTTTTACCTGTGTGTTTGAGTTGCTATTTATTTGCCCATTTAAAATTCTTTAAGGTCATTGAGGGTGTACTCCATTGGGCTTGTACTCCAGTGAAACTAATTGTTTTCATAATTTTCATAAAATATATTAGTGGTTCAGCAGCAGGAAAGTATGTTTTGATGCTCATCCTTATTTGCAGTCAAGACAAGACATGGGCCTTATTTGCTAAGACTTCATACTTCATGTCGGCGTTTTAATTCACTTACAGAGATCCGGAACATGTTTTACTTAAAAAGATATTTTAAAAACAAATTTAAAACATGACCATATATTTTTACAAGACTAACATTGGCAAATAATAGAAACAGTGCTGCTTGAGTAATAATTGAGCCCTTTCTCATGGAGTATATTTGAATGTTGTTGTCAAAGTTAAACGAGTTAGACTTCTTCACAATGTAACCACCATTAAATTATATGACAAAGATCTTTATTTTAATCTAAAAAATTGTTTGATTTTTCAATTTCAAAAATAAAAAGTTGTGGATTGTTTTTTAAATTTCATTATTTCTTGTGCTGATGTAATAAAGAGATTGTTACTGCCAGCTTAAAATGGCATTTTGAGAATGCTGTTGTCTTTGTATTGTATTTGCTCTATGACTGTTGGTCTTGTCATCTCATGAAACCACAGAACAACTGGGTCAAAACCATCCTATTCAAATATCACAAAGTGTGATATTTGCTAATTGTGTCTTTGACTTATTGTATTATAGTACTGTATTTGCTGGTACTGGTTTGTTCCTAATTGGCTGATTAAACTTAGTGTCAGTAGTATTCAAGCATTACTTTTTTTAAAGGACTGATTTCATGGGTATTTATAGTGTAATTGAATGTTGTAGGAAAGTTAGCATGGTTTGTGTAGCAATATGTTGTAATCTGGTAACTCTTCCAGTTAATATCAGGAACATAATCAAAACACCATAAACCTCACTGTGGTAGAACTGTACTTGTATTGAGCAAGGATGTGAAAGGACATCAATTAAGGAAATATTGTCTTTGCTTTGTCACTTTGGTCTTCTACCACTTTAGGAAAGTATGCTTTCCTTACCTAAACTGTGAACTGTTCTTTTTCTCTTTGCATCTATTTGAAGGCTGTACAGTACTGAAAGCCTTGCTTGAAGGGAGGCTGGCTGATGTCCTCATACTAGAAGTTTAGTGCTTAGCTGTTAGTTTACCTTGAATTGTTGCACAGATGGAAAGAATGTAATCAATAGCTCAGTCCATCTTTCAGAATTGTAATGCATTGTGGTCACTTCATTTATGGTTAAACTTTTTTTTTTTTTCAGAATAATGAGATATTTTTTCATGGAATCATATAAATAGTAAAATTATGGAGTATTGAATCATAAACATGCTTTTTTTTTTTAAGTGTGATTTTTACTTTTAGAGGCTGCTATAGGATGTTAATTTCTGTGTATGCATCATGTTTCATTCTGTGGCTTAGCAGTTGATTGTTTTTCAGAAAGTCTAAACCCAGGGTTGTGGTTTAGAAAAAGTGTCATGGTTAATGCCAAGAAGAGGTCATGTGGCGAGCTTCAGAGCTGGGCTGTCTCAGCCCTGCTGAAGAGCCTCTGTCACAGCAAGTCACTGGGGAGACAGGAGTATTCCTGTGGCTCACTTGGGTATTTGCCAGGAGGAGCAGGTGCTAAAGAGAGGGAAAAGCAGCTTGGAAAATTTGTTTGATAGGTAAAGGAGTTGTGGGGAAAGAAACAACTCCTGGGAGACTTACTAAGATCTATCACTGAAATTGGTTTGGATATTAGCTTGGTTGTAAGTTACAGTTCCAGGGAATATTTTTGCTGTTCTAGTGTGGGTGGCAGAGCAGTCAGAGCTGTGTTCCCATACTCAGTCTTTTTCATGAAGCCCTTTGTTACCAGTAGCTGAATGCTGAAATATCTGTAGGAATTATTTAATGGTTTTACATGACCCCAAAGCAGAAACCAAATCAAAAAACCCCTCAAAGGTGCATTGTCTTAATTTTTGGTGCATTATTCAGCTGTTAAGGACAATTGCAAGGGACTGTGTCTCTTCTTCAAAGGATCTTTCTCTTGGGCCAACTCTGTGAAAAATGATATATGGTGACAAATTACAGCTTAGACTGATATTGCTGTTACACCTGTGCTTCTTTGCCACTTCTCTTATATGTGTGTTTGTGGTTATTTGGGATGAATTGTAGAAAATAGGGATTTTACAAAAAATGTTACTGATTTTTATAGTTTTGAGCACACTTCAGTCTTCTACTAAATGACATAGAACTGAATTTTGGTGGATTTTTTTTGGCCATAACTGGTTGGACTCTCTAAGAGAGACTACAGTCTGCTGATTGTGAGGGTGTGTAATCTCAGACTTATATCAGGCTGTCCTTTCAAAGAGTGCTACATACACCAAGACGTGAAGTTCTGACAGTGTTTGCTCTTCTTCAGCTCAATCCAAACAGAACTGCTGGTGAAGAACTAAGATAGACCATGCTTTTAGGAAGCAGGGCAGTAAGGCTGAACTACCCAACGTTGGTCTCCACTAATTATGTGCAGTGTCCTAAAGATAAAACTATATGACCCCTCAAAATACTGTTAGGGAAGTAGAAAGGATCAGTCTATAGAAACCTGCATAGTCCTGTTGTGTATATAAGAGTGCTTGCTACTCAGTGTGTGATGTATCGAGCACTTGGAAGTTAGCAGCCTGCCAGTAAAATAATATGGATGGTCAGTAGGTTGTGTAGCTTTTGTCATCAACAGATTTTGAGGCTTTACTGAAGCAGGAAAACAAATCAGTATTGGATTTAGAAAAAAGGAACTGTTCTATATTACAGGACTCAAATGGAGACCACCCAAATGCCTTCAGCTGGTTTTTGTTATTTTCACAAATAGTTTGTTCTTTTAGCAGAGTGTTTAAGAACAGAGAGTCAGGTCAATCGCTCTATTATGTTTTTTCCCTAAACAGCAAATTAAGCAAACTTTACAATATTGTTCATCATTGAGAAAAAAAAGTCTTATAGATTCTCTTGGGTTTTTTAGCTTCCAGAGAAAAATAGTGATAGGCTGTTGTGAATTTAAATCTTCAAATTATAAATGTAATGCAGTGTGTTTTTGGAAACTTTTTTGTAGTTTGGCTGGATTGTACCTTGTAAGGGCCAATATAGTATCTATTATATTTTATGGTATTTAGTAAATTAATTCAGAGATGTTATATATTTTCCATAGTTCAGGTAGAATAAGTAGGATGCAGAATATTCTTGTCTTCCATATAGTATGAGTTATTTTTTTATTACAGTCTTTATTTTTCAAAGCGCAGGTCTGCTGCAGTTTTTACTGTCTTGTTTTTTGTGTTGAAGCATGCTTGGGTCCTCACTGAAGACCTAAAAGCAAACAGTCCTGGGCAGTTACCTTTGCTTAGTGTATGTTTGTGTTCACCTGTAAACAAGTGATTTTCTTTCTGGGAGGGTACCCTGATAGGCAAATGACAAAGATTTGCAGTCTGTAATGGGTGAGATACAAAGAAGAAATTATGCTGAAGGACAAAAAAGCAAAGACTATCTGGCCCGAAATGGTGTATTGGCATGTTAGTAATGCCACATACTCAGAGTAGGGGACTGTGTGTTAAAAATCTTGTTTCTTCTCTTTACTTCTGATACCTGTGTTCATACTTGCAATCAAACTAAACAAAGTGTGATGGAGTATAAAATGCTATGGTAAAAATCAGTATCTTACTGTTATACAGAATGCCATCACAGTGGATGTGGTGCTGAGTGCCTCTAAAAAGGATGTAGAGAAGAAGGGAATCAGGGAAGAGTCTAAAAAAGGAATCTGTGGGGATGAAAATTTGCTTTTATAAAGAGAAATTGGACAAAACATAGAGATTGTTTAGCCTTTGAAAGGCAGTGAATATGGAGAAGTATAACACAAGTACACAGAAAGATGAATTGTTTGAAGCTTTTGTTTTGTTGGTTCGTGCTATAAGAGTAAAGGGACATTCTGTGAAATTAGGGTGACAGAGTGAGAAAGGAAACTGGAGAGGATCTATTTCTTGATAAACTGGTAAGACTGAGCTCTGCAGTCTAGGGATAATTTTAATTTAGAAAAATTCTAATAGAAATTGGATAATTTAGAGTGCAAGAATATTTACACAGGCTCAGGTTACCTTTTCTCCTGGAAGAATATAATCCCTCATCTTTTTGTCACTTGCAAAATTATTTTTCCATCATGATTTTTGATAAATCTCATCTAAAAACCATGTGTTGATGGTGTGAGTAAAGGAATGAAGTCTATCCCTCGTTTGTTTATGGGAGAAGGAGTTACGGCATCTCACTAATTTGTTCTCTTTCCCTGTATTGGGTTATATCTAGGTGAGATACACACTAGGTAATATGTCAGGTTCCCTTGGTAGGATGCACTGATTTACTTTGTTTCTCTTGTAGATATGGATATTGGAGAAGAGGTTTTGGGGATTAAAATCAGGGTCCTCATGAAATTGGAAAGAATTTACATAGGTCACTTGTTTTTGTGACTTGCTACTTGTGAGACACTGTTCTGTTCAGTTTGATTTTTCTATTGCCTGGGCTCGTGCATTAAGTTGGTGTTCATGCAGTAATTTAATTTGAGTCAGTACACAAGTTTGTTCTGTACCTAGAGCGATGGAATATTTTGGGAGGATGAAATGAGCTAACGCTGGCCTTCTGTGTCAGCCTGCCAACTCCCAGCAAGTATGTAAAAAGTCATAAAAATAGCAGTGGGGGTATCTTAATTAAATGAGCATGCTTGTCGCTTTGCCAGTCTTTTCTCTTGGCATGGATCAAGTCCTAGAAACTGTTTGCTTTCAGTCTCTATCAAACTCAAATATAAAACTCTGTGATAAAAGCATCAGAAGCAGTGTTCAACAGGAAA